CAAAAAATGATCCAATATCCTGGAGAAATGTGGGACAAGGTTTGGTTCATTCCTTATGATAGGAGAAAACCCAGCATGTTAAAGTGTTGGTGGGAGTGGGGCCTTTCATGATTCTCTGGGCTCTTATTCTTTACCCTTCCCGTACCAGTTAAAAGCTACTGAACTAAGGCTTCGCTGTGCCCTCAAAACCATCCTCTCCCGTGCCCCTGAAAGTGGGTCCGAGGAGGTGGCCCATGGGGAAAGTTCTTTCCACACAGGTGTGAGGACCCAAGTTTAGATTCCCCCAGAACCCGTGTAAAGCCAGGCTTTGCCTGTGCTACCGGGAGATGGGAAGTGGTGACAGGAGACTCCCTGCAGGCCAGCTGGCCGGGCGTGTACAGCACAGCGGCAAACAGCGGAGAGATCCTGCCTCAAATGTGGGGGAAGGTGAAGAACAAAGCCCGAGGCTGTCCTCTGACCTCTGCACATTCGCTGTTGGATGTGCTGCACATTAAACACACCACACACACACACACACACAGACACACACACACACACACTCAAACAAATCTTTAAGGGAACTACTCCAGCAGTATTTGAAATATGCAATGCACTTTATTGCATGTTTGTAGCAATGTGCTTAATTCACTTTTTGTTCGCAAAAATTGTATACACCTAGTTCTGTAGAAATAGAGTGCTAAAATAACGCTGATATAAGGGGTGCCCCTGAACAGTAAACCTGGGTTAACTGACATCAGAGAAAAGACTAGGACACGAGCCCTGATAACAGCAGGAAGTGCCATTTCTGGGTAGTGCTGTGGAAGAGGAACACGTCTCAGCTGAACTTCTGGGTAGCAGCAGAGAGCACAGATGTGGGCTAGAACTGTGAGCACAGGAAGAAAGCCCTTCCCTAAGGAGACTCGGCTCAAGGGTGATTAGCAAGGCAGAAGTGGAAAACGAGAGAGAGGAAAAGATGCCCCTACTGAAGAAGCAGTGAGCTTCACTTGAAGCCTCTCGTGAGTGCGTGGAGAACGAGAACTCAGCCTGTAATGACCTACAGTCCCCAGCGGCTGACTCAGCCGAGTAGGATGCAGAACAGAGGGGTCTGAGAGCCTGTGCAGCAACTGCTGTTTCTCCCCACAGAGTGCTGTGAGTGTAGGTGTTACTGTGAGTGATGGTGCTTGTTTGATGTGCCCTAGTTGTACCAACACAGTCATATGTTTATCTTACGTTTATAGAAATGCATTTATCACAGCACATCAAGTCCATGATAAAAGATGAGTAGAATAGGTAATAGTTTTTATTTAAAAGCATCTAAATTAAGGACCCATGTAGAGCAATTGATAAAGTACGAAATAGTAAGATGACAATAACTGAAGGGTTTGAGAAAGCTCATGGGTTGAACATCTATTTTAAGGAAATACTATAGAGCCTACTAGATAGTCTATTAATATGATTCTCTTTCTTTTCCTAGCTGGGCTTTGCAGATCTAAACCTGGCAGAGTTTGCTGGATCAGGAAATACCACCCGTCGCTGTTTACTGGAAGGCTATGATACCAAAAATACAAGACAGGACAATTCCATTCTTAAAGTAAGCACTCTTTGAGATTTACATGCCAATAAATGGGATTTGCTGCTTCTCACTAAGCACAGGTATCTGTTGTCATGAATACATTGGGAATCCATCCTGAGGTCTTAAGCCGCCACAACACTAGGGAATGACCCTTTTATGCCGTAGAAGCTGTGAAAAGTAATGATCATCTTTGTGGTCCAATGTGATTCTCACTGGTGCTGTGAACCAATACGCTACCATGACAGCAGAAGTGCTTGCTGGGGAAAAAGAACATGAGGGTCAGATGCAAGGCTTCAAACATGTCAGGGCTAGAAGGATGGCTTAGTAATTAAGAGCACTTGCTGTACAACCATGAAGAGCTGAGTTCAGCACTTGGGAGGTGGAGACAGGGAATTTCAGGGGTGCAAGGCCAGCCTTAGATACATGAGACCTTGTCTCAAAAGCCAAAGTGGGAGAAGAGGGAATTAAGAAGGACACCATGCTATGAACCTCTGTTGTTAATGTCCCTCTGAAACTACCTCAGGGCCCCTGCATGTACCCCAATGAGACTGGCAGGTCTAGATGGATTGTTTTATAGTGGAGAAGGTTAGATGCTGTCTGTTAGAGAAGCAGTGAGTGACAGAGCTGAGACCAACATGCAGATCTGCTGTTTGATGGCCTCTTCACATTATGGTGCTCTCTGATCTCATTCTCAAAAGCCACCGACTGTACCGTTCATTCTGAATGACCCCAAAAAAGTTATTAAAATTCAGCCTTCTCATATATTCCTTCCATTAAAAAACTTTTCTGGAGCTGCGTGTCCTGAGGTCGGATCTGATGTTTCCCCCACCATGGAGTTTCCTCCTGACAGGGAGACACAGTCTGTGGTGTTTTGGGGTGCTCAGTTCAGTCTGTGATGGTGAGTAGAGCACGCAGGGGCAGGCGAGTGGCTCTGCGCTGGAGACTGGGTGCCTGCAGGAACCTGAGAACTTTTCTAGAGAACTTTTTGCTGGGGGGCTGGGGGTGGCTGAGTGCCCTGAGGTCAGACCTGATGTTTCCCTTACCACCAGGTTTTCTCCCAACAGAGAACCCCAGTCTCTGGTGCCCTGGGGCCCGCAGTTCTGTCTGGGACTGTGAGTTGGGCACACCAGCAGGTCTCTGGGCTGGCAGCTAAGCGCCCACCAGACCCGGGGACCTTTTCCAGGGATTCTCTGGGTAACCTGAGGTCAGTCCCGATTGCTTCCTTCACCATGGGATTTTCTGTCAGCTGGAAATCCCAGTCTCTGGTGTTGTGGTGCCCGCAGTTCAGTCTGGGATGGTGATCAGAGCACGCAGGTGTGTGGCTCTGGGCTGGCAACTGAGAGCCTGCCAGGACCCAGGAACTCCTCCTAGTTTTAGCTGGGTGACCTGAGAACAGACGGATTGCTCCCACACTGTGGGGTTTCCTCTCACGAGAAACATGATTCCTGGTGTTTTAGGTCCCAGAATTCGTTCTATTGGTCGCTGTGCTGTCAGTGCTGTCCTGCTTGTCAGACACAGTATCCTCCCGGTGCTGCCATCTTGGATCCCTCCCTGTGGTTGATTCTTAAAAGATACTCAGCAACCAGGGAATATCAGCATCTCAGAAGGAAACAGAGAGGCTTTAGTCCCAGTCCAAAGCTGATGCAAAGGCCAGAAGCTCTCTGCCCCTTAAATCCCCAAGCAGGTATCCCATGAGGGCCTGCTTGTCAAATACTTACACCTCACAGGAATCTGGAGTAAACAGACCAACCAGACAGAAATGCATGCTGGGGAAGGATTATTACTGTGGAGATGCTTTTTAGTTTTATCATTTCAACAGAATTTTTATAATCACAAGGTTTTGGAAGTTAAAGATAATTTTTTTAATCCATGTCTACCTAAAGCAGTAATTGAATTTTGGTCGCACACTCATTAAACATTTATTCCACTTAATGCTTTCTAAATAGAAAATATTAGACTAGGTGTTGTGGTGGAAACACTGATTAGCAAAAGCTGGCGTCTCAAGAAATCTTTTATAATTGTGGCTTTTGTTGCTCTTTTGTTTAGGTTTTGATCAGTATGCAGCTGATGTCTGGTGACCCATGTTTTAAAACGTAAGTTGAAAACCAATAAATAGATTGTTTGTCTGAAAGTCTGATACACAGTGAAGCAGCTTTGTAGGTAGATAGTTCCCTTCATGGTAGACAGACCTGAACTTCAGAGAAGTGAACTGTGTCCTATTATCGAGTAAGCTGACCACTCTCAAAATGAGGCGAGGTATAGATCTTTGGGTTTTCAGGTGTATGTGAAATGGACAAACTGAAGGTTTCATTTGCTTTCTATGATCTTACTCACCTTTCCGACAGATACTTGGTAGGTGCCTTACAGTGTGCGAGACTGCATTCTAACCTTAGAAACAGCAGTGAGCAGGAGACTGCGTTCTACCTCCTTTTAGAACTTACACTCTAAGAAAGAAACAAGCAAGTAGCAATAAGCATAGAAAAAGAGCCTGGGAATAGATGCCCTGTTGAGGAGTAACAGGGAGCATGGAGACACCATAAAGAGCTGTCGTTGTTTTATATTGAGTGTCAGGGAGGCCTGCCTGGTTAAGAGAATATTTGCGTAGACTTGAAGGAGGTGGGAGGCAAGCCATACAGACATTCGGGAAAAGAGTATTCAAGGTGGAGGGTGTACAGACAAAAGCCTTAAGGGGCAACTGTTCCCAGCATGTTCAAGTAACTGCCTGGAGACCAGCATATCTAGAGCAGAGGGAGAGATGGGCTTGGTAATAGGAGATGAGGTCAGATGGCCATCTTGTGGGCCGCTGAAATGACTGCACTTACCTCCTAAATAAGGAAAAAAGCCGCAGAGGTTTCAAATGAAAAGTAAATGATCTTGTTTACAATGCAAGGTGGAAAAGAGACATCTGAGGGAGCCGCAGTGAGAACAAGGGTGGAGGAGGTACATTATGTGACTGTTTCATTAGTTAATGTTTTCTCTCCTGGGAAGCCACAAGAGAAGCAATTCAGAGCTCAGGTGTAAGACACAATGAGACCCACATAGAAAGAGAGAGAGAGAGAGAGAGAGAGAGAGAGAAAGAAAGAAAGAAAGAAAGAAAGAAAGAAAGAAAGAAAGAAAGAAAGAAAGAAAGAAAGAAAGAAAGAAAGAAAAAGGATTTGTAAAACATTCCAGTGTGATCCAAATTCTTATCTTACAAATGAGGACGCTAAGGCGGAGCAGTGGTCTTGGTCAAGTATGTCTGTGTGGAACCAAAGGCAAATAGCTACTGGAGAGATGCAGGCCCGGCTCTGTTAGATGCCTGTGAGGTGAGCACACCACACAGGATGTTACAGGACAGAGAATGGGGGCTCTCAACACCGCTGCTCCTTAAAAGCTAGCAAGTCCTCACTGAAAAGGAGCACTGAGCTAAGCTGTAACGACGACTAAGAATGCACTAAGTACAGAAGGTGAGTAGAGCCACATTCCAAGGAGAGAAAACACTTTTAACACACATAGGGCATTGTTATGATGCATGGAATATTTGTGGAATAATCCAGGAGATGATGATACCATTTTAGGAGGTCATTTTTCACAGACTCTGACCATTACCATAAAATTAAGATAATTCCCATTTCTTTAATCTGCAACCGTGCTATATCAAAGGATCTTGACAAAGCATATGAAACATTTTTGAACAAAAGAAGTAGAAGAATTGAGCCAATACCAGGTGGGCACTGGGTAGTTATTCACCGAACTGTGTTGCCCGGGGCAACAGAACTGCAGCATCCTAGCTAAGACTTGAGATTCTGAGTCTGCTGTCCTAGCCGCCCCCACGGTCAGCCTCTGTCCCTGTCTTAGAACACTCTGTAGAAATGGCTCCTGGTTTTTTGAGACAGCAGGACAAGAATGCCAAATTTAAGGTAGTGTTAGGTATGTTATGACTGTAATCAATCACCTATGGACAGAAGACAACTGAGATTTAAGAACTGAGGCATGCAGGCACAGTCCGGACACTGGTGATTTATGGCTGCTATTGTAGACTCCATTCTTTGTATGAATCTTCTATGTATTTTTCCCATGAAATATTCAATGGAGAGTTTTTTTAACCAAGTTGTTTATGTTATTTAAACATATAACTCAGCCATGCCTGCTGGTACAAGCTTATCTATAATCCTAGCACTCAAAAACTGAAACAGGAGGATTTTCATAAGTCCAAGGCTTGTCTGAGCTACATACACGCTACTAAGCCAGCCAGGGCTACAGAGAAAAGATTGTGTCTCAAAAAATATATTAAACAAAACTAGAATACAACCATTGGTAATTAAAGAGGTTGGTCCTAGTCAGACCATGAAGAGCTTTGGGTGTCATCCTAGGAGCTTGAGCTTTGATCCAAAGGCACTACTGAAGGGTTAGCTCTGGCTTTACGACAGGGGTTCGTGTAGCCCAGGTTGGCATCTAGCTTGCTCATGCCCAAGGATGATCTTGAACTTCTGGTCCTCCTGCCTCAACCTCAACCTCCTGAGTGCTGAAATTACAAAACTGTGACAGCACATGGAGTTCTCTGTCTTCAGAACTCTAGGAGACAGTACTCTTTCTGTTCCCAGTAGTTTGTTATATAAAAACCTTTCTCTACAGGTCAGCAACTAAGAGCACCTGCCGCTCGCAGAGGACCAAAGTTCGGTTCCCAGCACCCACATCAGGTGGCTTACAATCATCTGTAACTCTAGCTCCAGGGCATCCAACATCCACTTTTGGTCTCTGCAGGCACCTGCACATGTGTGTATATGCACATGAACACATAAATAAAAATAAGAGCCTTATATAAAATCTCTCCCACATTTATTATGCAGGTTTTATGGTTCTAAAAGATACTTATGGATTAGTTGATGGTTTTCATTGCATCCTCAAAAGGATAGCGCTAATAAAGAACTTACTAAGGCAGGTGCTGAGCACACAGTTGGTCCCTAAAGGTAGTTCAAAACTTCAGGCTCACATGTGATTCCAGATCTGATCATCAGAATATCTCCCTCCACAGGCCTCCCTCCACATCCATGTCAATACCAATCGCTGGGGAATCCGAGTCTCTGGAAGAGGACAGAAAAGGTGGAGAGACCCTCAAAGTGCATCTTGGAATAGCAGGTATGGGTATATAGCTCCCTGATCTTTTAGTTTCTGAGAAACAGTACTACAATCTTTTCTACAAGATCCTAAACCCTGAAGGGCTACTAGGAGGGCTCAGCAGGTCAGGGTGCTTGCCACCAAGCCCAATGACCTGAGTTCAGTCCTTGGAATCCACACGCTTTAAGGAGAAAGCTGACTCCCACAAGTTGCCCTCTAACCTCTACAAGTACTCTATGGCATATGCATGTCCACACACGTATACACAAAATAAACAAATAATTGTTTTTTGTTAAAAAGATTCTTACAACCCACCTGCATGTAAATACATATGCACGATGACTTGAAATGAGCCAGTTAGTATGCTGGCCAAGCCAGTACTTATTTGACTAGAGTAAAGTACACTGACAGTGAGAGCTGAGTGTTGCACTGACATGACCTCACACTGACCTCATCTCCTCCTCAGAAACACAAGGACCTCCAGCTTCTGTACCTCCCTCATGCTGGGCACACTGGCCCGTCAGCTCTTTGGTGCTGCTTCTCATCTTTTCTTGGTGCTTCTCAAGCCTCCCTGTGCATTTGATTTACCCGGGGTTTGGGGGCATTAAAACACATGCTAGCACCAGCAGCTAGGTCTTGGGAGATCCAAGTTGGTGCCTGAAACTTTATATTATACAGGGTCCCAAGTACACCTTTAAGATCTACTTCCCAGGTGATGGTGGCCCACATCTTTAATCCCAACACTCAGGAGGCAGAGGCAGGTGGATCTCTGTGAGTTCAAGACCAGAAGTTCAAGCCTGGTCTACAGAGCAAGATCCATTTCCCTAGACAAAGTTCCAGCAGAAGCATAATCTACTGTAGCAGCTAAAAGCAGGGTCGGGGAGATGCCAGCCTGGCTGCAGGAAGAGAACATAGCCTTTTCCTTCTGTCTCTTGAGTTATGGAGACAGTGTGTGTTGTTGGAAAGAGTGGAAAGAATGGTAATACGCCGGGATTCCCATTTGCACTACCTTTCAAATGTGCAGTGATAAGGTTCCTTGTCAGTGTTTATGAGTATGGATTTCTTGATTTATGGATAATGTTAATCTTTCCATTAACCCCTCCCTTCAGCACTTAAATATTTTGTCTATACTGATGAGAAAATATAAAGTGAAAGCTATTATCCTTACATCCATCTCTATCTTCTGATATCCTGTAGACTCCAGCAGTCTGATGTTGGGTAGACAGACAGACATGGAGAAGCATCATCAAGAGAATACCTATTTGACGCGTGCATCATAGTATATGTAGACAAATGTCTAGCCACCAAGACTGCTGGCATCCGATACCTTTCTTGTTGCTGTGACAAAAGAGCTCGAAGGTTCTTTGGGCTCATGGTTCCAGGGGATGCAGTCTGTCGCAGTGAGCAGTCACAGCAAGATGGGAGGTATCTAGTCACATGGCACCAGCCTTTAGGAAACAGAAAGATAAATGCTGGTGTTCAGCTGCTTCCTCTTCTTCCTTATTCAGTCCAGGACCTCAACCGAGGGCATGCTTCTGCTGACACTCAGGGTGGGCTTTCACTCCTCAGTTAAACCTCTCTGGAAGCACCCTCACAGATGTGCCCAGGTAGGTATCCCTTAGGCGGTTCCTAGTCTAGTCAGAATTATGGGGAGTTAACCATCATACTGCCCATTTTCTGTTGAACTCTGCAAGCTGGTTTGTGTCCTATCCTGATATGTACAGTTATTTGATTTGCAAATGCTGTGGGTATTTTTCCTGTTGTCCTATGCCTCAGCCACCAATTCTTTCTTGAAGCCTTCTCTCCTTTGTCTTCTACCTTCATGACCTCTCCTCTTCTAGCTTCTTAGGGATTTCTTGAGCCAGCAAGATGGTTCAATGGGTAAAGGCTCTTGCCTCCTAATCCTGATGACCTGAGTTCAATCCCTAGGACCCATCAGTGGAAACAGATGTTTGCCTCCAGCTAGTTAGCTAATTGTCATCTGGCCTACACATATATGCTGTATTGCGAACACACACACACACACACACACACACATTTTTTGAAGTTGGCAGTCGGTGGCTACTGGGGAAGAGAGAGTTGGTCTTCTTTAGGGATGTGGTCCCTGAGAGACTGCCCATGCTCCAGTGGATGGTCCTACATTCAAGCACATCACTAAGTGGATTCAGTGGGTTTAAGAACAGAGCACAATAAGTAGTTAGAGAAAAGTGAGAGACGAGCACAGGAGGAATTGGAGAGGAGGGAATAGAGGATGAATTTGATCAAAACACATTGTATCCATACATGAAGTTCTCAAATAATAACAAAAAAAAACTTAAAAGAAACTTCTTTATGGTCCTAGGGCTGTGGCTGTGGCATAAAGCTCTTGCCTCTATGCTCGGGGCCCTGGGCTTAGTCCCCAGTCCTTCAATGACAGAGACTAAGGCATAAAAACGTCCTTATCTTCCACCTCCTCTCTAGTGTTTGCTATTCTGCAGAGGTTCAGTCCTCTCTAGTTAGTTTTCTGGGAGATCTCATCTACACCGCTGATTTAACTGTCTTATAAATATAATGTGGTTATATAAATGTGTGTTAAATACTTTCTGCTCACAAATACTGTTTCCAAATATTTTGGGGAAGGTCCATTCACACCACACATCATACTCAACCACATGCTCATCTCTCTCCCTAGCCAGACTTTGGGTTCTTCATGATCTGATCCTTATATCCCAGAATAAGACCATGGACAGGTCAGGATGAAATGAGTATTGATTGTCCTCAGATTTCATACATTCAGCGTAAATCTGTCTAACTCTTTCTCCTACTGCTCAGGTATCCTGGCACAAACTTCTGCTCAGTAGCAGAATCTGGCCATTTGTGCTAAACATCTCTCACACTCAGCGGGGTTATAATGAAACCTTCACTCTTCACTCCAACCTGCTTATCCTTTTACTAAAGCAATCTTCACACAACATAGACTGCCATGCCCTTGCTTAAAGTCACTGAAGTACTTCCTTCATTCAGCTTACAGAAAGGTCTTTATCGCCTGTCCTCTTCTTGGGCCTTCAGCCTCTCTTCCCCATCAGTCACCTCCCCATGGCTCGGTACCATTTGCTTCTCTACAAGCAAGGCTTGCCCTACCCTTCCCCCACACCCCCCGCCCAGCAGCTAGCTTAGAGACTCCTGCATTGGCAGGTCCTCCACTAGCATCCTCTGTGAGGTCCCCTCCCATGAGGTATCATGTGCACTGGCCTTTGGAGCCCTTAATACCTTGTGTTGGTTAATGCTGGATTCACTGCATTCCTCTTGCTTCTCTCTCCAAACTCTGAGCCTATGTTTGCTTTATGCTTTGTGTCCCCAATGCCTCAGTTTTGGCTACACCACAGACAACTGACTTATTAAGAGCTTAATAAATTTCTTATATGGATTGAATACATTTTGGATTACAGAAGACAGGTGGCTGAGATTTGAGCCAAACACCGGAGTAGACTCTTGGGTGTTCAGGAATCTCTATGAACTCTCTAGGAGAGGGGTTCTTTGGAGCTAACTTTTGGGTCTAAGGCTGCTGTAGAGATAGGTGCTTGGGACCCTTACATTCTGCCCAGACAGGAGAAGCCTTTGCAGAGGACCAGGACCTTGGGTGCTTGGCAGCATTAGGTGGCCCAGCTGTGCACGATCTCACCTAAAGAACTGCTGCTGTGACAACCATCTCACTCAGATGCTCTCCTAAGTTCACCACAGTTCTAGTTTCCAAGTGTGTTACACTAATGCTCACCGGTCACAGTGCTGCCTTCTATGGAGGACGGCTGGGACCACAAATACATCATTGCTGTCTAGGTTATGCACATGGCCTAGAGCTACTAGAATCAGTTTGGGCACCACTTTCTTTGCACATTTCCTTCCAAACTATGTATATCATCAGTTTCTTTTATCACTTTAGTTTTCAAATTTTATTTATTTTCTTTTCAGTGTGTGGGGGTTTTGCCTGTGTGGATGTTTATGCGCCATGTGCATGTAGTGCCTGTAGAGGCCAAAAGAGGGTGTTGGGTCCCCTGGAACTGGAGTTACAGGTAGTTGTGAGCCTCCATGTGGGTGCTGGGAACTGAACCCTGAGTTCTCTGGAAGAGCAGCCAGTGCTTTAAGAAGCTGCGTTATCTACAGTTTTGTCTTCAGTTTTTTAAGAATCTTCATCCCGGGTACTGCATCCTGTGCTGTGTTGATAAAAGTAACAGCATGGTGTCACATATAGCCTAGCACAAGGAAGACTGACATTAAAGCAGTGAAGTACCTTTAATTCACTACTGAGATGAATTCTGGGGGAGTAAGCTCTCCTCCACACACCAAAAACAAAACCAAACCACTATAGTGCCAGGGCATGGTGGTGCACACCTATAATCCCAGCACTCACATCAAGACAGAAAGATCAGGAGTTGGAGACCAGCCACAGCTACTGAGTGGGTCTAAGGATAGCTGTGGATATAGGAGACCCTCTCAGATAGATAGACAGATAGATAGACAGACAGACGGATGGAAAAGAAACAATACCAAAATTCAGCAGTTTCATGAGAATTTGTAAGAATAAGACTGACTTATTAGAAAAATGTTGAGCACACACAAAAAAGAAACCTAATAGTTTTTTTTTCTTTTCTTTTTTTTTTTTGTATTTTTTTAATTTTATTTTTCTTTTTAGTTACATTTTGTTAACTCTGTGTCCCAGCTGTATCCCGCTCCCTCATTCCCTCCCCAACCCCACACTCCCTCCCTGGTCTCCTCCCTGCCCCTTTCCAAGTCCACTGATAGGGGGGACCTCCTCCCCTTTCATCTGACCCTGTTTTATCAGGTCTCCTCAGGGCTGGCTGCAAAGCCCTCCTCTGTGGCCTAACAGGACTGCTCCTCCTAATAGTTTTAAGACACACTGCTAGCAGACATTATGAAAGTTCCCCAACTTTCCAATGGACTAAGATATTTAAGCATTCTTTCATTCCTTGCAGTGTAGTTGTTTTCATTATACCAATTGGAAGGATTCTATCACTTTATAACTTATTTTTCTTGATTATGAACTTGCAAAATAATAAAATCTACAGGTAAAATAAAAATTGGACATTGACTTGGTAATAATAGTAACATCGAGTTTTGACTTATTGCAGATCTTTCAGCAAAGAGTGCCTCTGTTCCAGATGAACTTGGCGCCTGGGGACATTCTAGAACATCAAGCTATGCAAGCCAGCAGTCCAAAGTATCAGGTAGAGGCCCACAGTGGGATTCAATTCCTAATTGTTTTAAAGCAGTGGTTCTCAACCCTTTGGGGGGGTCACATCAGATATCCTTGTATATCAGACATTTACATCCAATCTATAACAGCAGCAAAATTACAGTTATGAAGTAACAACAAAATAATTTTATGGTAGGGGAGTTGCCACAACATGAGAAACTGTATTAAAGGGTCAAAGCATTAGGAAGGTTGAGAACCACTGTTCTAAAGGGACTTGAACCTGGGGTAGTGACACACCTGTCATCCTAGCAGTGGGGAGGCTGAGACAGAAGAATGGCAAGTTCAAGCCCAGCCTCTGCTTGCTGTATAGCAAGTGCCTGTCTCCAGACAGAATGAAATTCAGTAATAAACTTGAAACTGTTATGGTGGAAAGTTTGTTATTGTAGGATAAAGAAATTACTTCTCAGAGCTGGTAGATGATTCCATAAAGGGCAAGCATGAGAGCCTGAGTTCAAACACCAGCACTCCCATAGAAGTCAGTCATGACAGTTCATACCTGTAGAAGTCAGTCATGACAGTTGATACCTGTAATCTAAGCACTGGGTGTTCAAACACAGATGGACTTCAGGGGCACCGGTAGCCAAATCAGCAAGTTCTAGTCTCTGTGAGAGATCCTGTCTCAAAAAAATAAGGTGGCCAGTGGCAGAGGAGGTGACCCAATCAACTACTGTCCCCTATCCACACACGTTCACACATGCGTGTGCGCACACGTGAGCATGCACCCATACGAACGTGTACACACATACAGAAAGAAAAAGGTAGACTGTAGTGTATCCGACATTGGTAAGACATCCAAAATGATTGTTCCTCCGGCAGGGTATAGCACGTGTCACTCCCGGTCATCCAGTTTCTCCGAGTTCTGCCACAGGAGAAATACCTCAGTGGGAAGTACGTCAACAGGAATTGAAAGCATTCTGGAGCCATGTGACGAAACTGAGCAAATCCCGGCCGAACCAAGTCCAGACAGCGCTGCAGATAAAGAAGAAGAAGCTTCAGAGAAACTCGCCAGGTACCCTCCCACGTGATGGCTTTACATTTAAAACATCCTTATTTTCGTAACATAACCAATACCAGAGGGGGAAACAACTGTGGTTCTTTTCCAAGATGCCCGGTCAAGCAGGATTCCGTTGAGTCTCAGCTAAAGCGGGTCGACGACACCAGGGTGGACGCTGATGACATCGTGGAGAAAATCCTACAGAGTCAGGACTTCAGCCTGGATTCCAGTGCAGAAGGTGCGTGAAGAAGGCATGCGTGCGGTGCTGGGGGCCACAGCTGTGGGACCCATGTGGTTGGGCTACTGCCGAGTATGGGAGGGCCGGGGGTGGTGGTCTGGAGAACAGCGGTGAAGAGACAGACTCCTGCAGTTGCTCCCAGCGTTTTCCGCAGAAACTGAAAATTTATCTGCCACCAGCTTGAAAGGTGCAATTACTCATGCTGATGAGAATAGAAAACACATATCAGTGGACTGCTTTGTTGTATAACTGGCTGGAAATAGAAATAATTGGACCTCGTGAAAATGTGTAGAAAGAGCTATCATTATTGTTAAAAAAAAAAAAAAAAAAAGAGAGAGAGAGAGAGCTTTGGGAAGGTTGGTGAGAAAGACCTGTTAGGCTGGTTGACTCTATAGCGCGTGTAAAACTTGGGTATACTTGGTGGCTGTGAAATGAGGTTTGCTTCAATGTGCATGTTATTTGATAGTAGCCTATCTAATTATGTGTTCTAATTATGTGTTGCAGAAGAAGGCCTGAGGTTATTCGTGGGGCCTGGGGGAAGTACGACCTTCGGCAGCCACCACCTTCCAAACAGGTACGTTGCCCACCAGCTCGCTCTGCTGAGGACAGATGAGAGCAGGAGCTAGCCCACAGCAGAGTTACAGACACCTGGTGTAAATGCCGGAACGGAACTCAGGTCCTCTAGAAGATCGGGAATGGCTCTTAGCTGCTGAGCCACCTCTCCAGCCCCTATCTAGATATTTTTTAAGGTTTTTTTTTTTTTTTTAAGACAGTCTTAATGTATATAACCCTGACTGGCCTGAAACTCTCTATTTAGAGCAGGCTGGCCTCTGCCTCCTGAGTGCTAAAGATTTCTTCCTTGGTTTCTTAGAAGGTGGAGTATGGTGTGACTGGGTGTTTTTCTCTATGTTTATTCTGTTTGGGTTTCATTGAACTTCTTGAATCCCTGTGCTTATAGATTTCATCAGATTCGAAAATTCTCTAGTCACTATCTCCCACACATATATGCTTCTGGCATTCTGATGTTTAAATACCAGTATTTATCTTCTGTGAGCTAAGATAAAGTACAAGCAACAGCCCAAAATAACAACGGATAAATTGGCGATAAATAAGCTTCCTCAGCTTACAAAAGCAAGGGTGACTCAAAACAGCTGTGTCACCAAGAAATCCTACTCCATCGTGGCTGACAACCTCACAGAAGCCTAATGTCAGTTAACTCTTCGCCCTCTATATACCCTACCATCTTCCAAGAGTACAAGCAGGAGGGAATGGTGGGTGGAATTCCAGTGAGAGTCGTGGTCCTCCCTTCCTTCTACAAGTACATATTAAAAGTCCAACCCTATTCCTATTCTGACAGACTTTGCTTTCACTGTATTGGTTTATTTCATTGCCATGACTACAGTCTTGGGGTTATCACTGGTCCATGATGGGAAGGAACGGATAGTCATGTTACACCTAGAAGAAAAAGGTACACCATAAACATCTCATAAAATGTCACTAAAGATGAGAGCAGCCATGGTGGTTGCTTCCAGGATTAATCTCTGGACACTCAGTGTGAAACATCAGGTACCTTGACAGTTGTTAACGGTAACACCCTCACCTCCATGCAGCACCAGAGGTCTCCTGAACACCCAAGATGGGAATGGGCAGAATTGTGACCCATTCAAAAGCATAAAGCTAGCTGCCATCTGAAAGACACCGTGAGAATCTTTATTCTGCCAGACCAAGAAATGATAGCAGGAAGATGCATGCTCCCTTCCTGACGGCACAGAACCACGGTCCAAAGTAACAGTCATAGTGACAACAACAGGACATCTCCTGTTGATGTGGCCTTTACTTAAATGGGCTACCTCAGAATGGTTCTATTCACAAGCTTGTAAATTAACGTATTTGGCATATTTTATTATGAGAGGTCAGTACCCGAAAATCCTATGTACTGCCGTGGTTGAGGCTGATTTTAGTAGTGTCTGTATGTCTTTGTGTATGACGTGCTACAGTGATATATGTCACACCTGGCATATTACAGTAAAGGCTGTACACAGAAGCCCAAGAATGCAATGGCCAGGCTGATTATACAGCTTTGTCCCAAAAAGTGATGCACTGCCATCTTATTATTTCACTGTCCTGGACTGCTAACCCAGGGTAAGAATGTCTTGTACACTAGAGAGATATAGATGATATATTTCTTCATCTGTTTTCATGTGGGAAAATTTAGTCACATGACCACACCTACCTACAGGGGAGTTGAGGAAACCTTTCTAGCCAGGTTCCCTATCACTAGCTAAACTATGAAGCAGAGAAGAGATTATGGGGCATAATGAGGACAGCCAACTTTCTTCTACACTGAGCTGCTGAAGACATAAACTCTTCGTCCAGAGCATTTAATTCACAATGCTGGCCACATATATAGCCGTCTGCATGTTGACTAAAAGAATTATTGAGCCCTGTAACCCATAATCCTGGCACTTGGGAGGTGGAGGTATGAAGAACTGGACTACAAAGTCTTTTTTTTTTTTTTTTTTGCTACATAGAGAGGTATAGACCAGCCTAGGCTAAATAAAACCCTGTCTAAGAAAGAGGAAGGAGAGAGACAGAGGGAGAGAGGGTGAAAGAGAGGGAGGCGAAAGAGAGAGAATAGAAAGAAAAGGCTTTGCACTTTCTAGAAGGATATACTAAGACCTACAGTGTTATAACTAAAGACTCTCATCAGTAACTCCATGAAAACCCCATTTACTGTCCTGGCTGAGGCTGATTTTAGTATTGTCTGTGTGACTTTGTCTATACCTTTAGGCCTTGTAGAAATAAAGTTCAATAGAAAACTACCCCAGAACTGGATGGTGGTGGCACACGCCTTTAATCCCAGGAGGCAGAGGCAAGCAGATCTCTGAGTTCTAAGCCAGCCTGGTCTTCTAGGACAACCATGGCTACACAGAGAAACCCTGTCTCAAAAACAGAAAACCACTTCGTGTGCCTGGGAGAAGAGGTCTTTGTAAGTTGCCACCTCTGCAGTTCAAAGTCTAAAAGTTTTCCCCTCACTGCTGTTTCAGGGTAGGATCTGGAGCCTATGAACAGGTTGTGATCAAACGCTAGAAGTGGAGCTGGCCGACGGTAGCTTCCCCGTATATCTGAGGTGTAGACAACAGTGTTTCAAGGTGTTTAGTCAAGCATGTAAGAAAAACAATGAGCCTGTTTTCAACGTCAAGTTCATCTGTGAAGAGGAAAGCAATGCTGATTGCCTCTCAAAGCATCCCCCACCATCCTTTCCCACCCGCTTACCCACGGAGGGAGCATGTAAACAGAGGGTGAAGGCCTTGCCTGCATAAGCACCCAGAACGAAAAGCCTGTTTGTGCTTCCAAAACACCCCAGAGAAAAAGCAGCACTTGACACTTCTGAGTGTGGCTCTAGTATTCCACCATAAAAATCCAAGGTGGGGGTGCCCAACAGGTCTGGGCCCTGCGTTTAAATTTTACATTTAAGAGACAGTACATGAGGTCAGTTTAGACCCTGTAATTGTATCAAGCTAACTGTAATTCTTATGAAGTACCCCTTCCATGTCCTCCTACCTATAGCATTGTACTAAGTGGAGTAACTCCTTTGATGCAATAACTGGCGGAAAGAGTGGGTGTCCGCGCTTTGGGAAATGTTAGGCTACAACTGAAGCATTTTAAATACCTAACAATTCTGAACGTATCAGATGGAAGTCAAACGACAGATGTGTCCAAGTGTGAGACAGGCGGATGGAAGGAACGCTGTGAGCGTGCATATATCCATTCCTTGTCATCAATATTAGATGAATTGCAAAAGCCCAAGTGGCACTATGTGTAAGAGCAAGCTTAATAATCTAGACGTTAGGCTACCACAGGCAAGCTAGGAGAGGAGCTGTTTCCTAACCCATTCAGTGCTAAGACTTGCTGGTCTCAGCAGTCAGAACAGACAGAAAACTGTGAGGTGAACAGAAAAATAACATTCTTCCTCAGGAAGCCAGACTTCTGTGAGCTGCCACTTACCATGCCACGCTAATGGACAGACATCTGGGCGTCTGCTTTCACTGACGCCTGTGCGACTGGCGCTTTTCTATTTTAGCCCCTTTGACCAGAAACTGTTTTCTTCTTTACTGTCAGAATCTAGCTGTTTGGAGCAGGAGTGGACTGTAACATACCTCTAATACAGCTTTTAGAGTGCAGCTCTCTGGTCTGGACCCATGCTAACAACACAGTACACAAGCTCTGGTTTTCTGGTCTAACTTAACAGTACCTATGTACAAAGAGCTAAACCCCCCTTCGCCAAAGAGAAACAGAGGGTTGTACAGAGCCAGCAATGCCCCAGCCGTCTACAGTCATGTCCTGGAAGACGATAGCTCAGAACAGGATTACTCTGCCCAACGTATTTTTATGTTGACAAAATACTTAAAATGTTTGAGTGTTGGGAAGCTTGGAAAAATTGGAATTGTTCGTGTTAGAATTTTTATTTTAATATCTCAAAAATTAGGTAGTCTACAGTAATCCAAAAATGTTTCTAAAACAGGTTCTGATTTTTTTAAAAGAAGATGACACCCTATTATTATTAATTATTCTAAAATGTTAAAATATGTTGAATACTAAGAGAAAGGATTTTCAAGTGAGCAGATCCATTGTATATTGATGATGAAGATATTATTTAGAGAGTTTATCCTGACAATTTTAAAAGGCGTGTTTTTCTATTTTTAAAGCTATAATTTCTCAGCTTTATTTTCTGTGGCCCCTCTGCAAATGATTTTGGATTCTAAAGACGATAATAACGCCAGATTGCAGGCGTGGTTCAGGGAGGCCACTCATGAGACAACACAGGTGCCGCAGCCAAGGCACAGTCGCGCCTCGCTTAGCCTGGCTGCCCTGGCCCTGGGTCTTTACACAGGATGAGGTGTTGGCATTTTAAATGGTACAGAACCCTTTTTTTAGAAAAGTAAAATGTGTGGATCTGGGGAAGACAGCTCAACTGGCAGAGTGTTTGCCTCGACCACCCGAAACCCTGGGTTTTCGAGTGTGAGCGTTGGTGCACACCTGTAATCCCAGCACTTGAGAGATGGAGGCAGGAGGATCAGATGTTTTAGGGTCCTTCTTGGCTCTGTAGGGAGCTGGGGGCCAGAGGAAGCTGTATGATACCCTGCCTCAAAAAGGGAAAATGAAAATGTGAAGAGGTTTTGAAAAGTATAAAAAAAATATGCCTGTTTTATTTTAGCAGCTACTAAATAATCTTGATTTATATATGTTAAGTAATAAAAAAAAAGATGACTTAGTGAGTAGAAACAGTGAGCTGGGAGGGGAAGCAATAGCTGTGACTCTCAAGTCGGCTAAAGTCTGGATTCTCCTTCCCTGGTGTTCTGGATATTCTGCATTCGTATTTCAGTACAGAATGTGAAGGGTTGTCTGAGTGAAAGCTTTTCTATTTTTTTCTTTCTGTGGGGCATACATTGTCAGGCTCTCAGCCACGAGGCTATTTTAAAAGCTGTTTGCTAAGCACCAAGTCTACTTTTAACTCTGTTTTGAGGAAACAATAGAGTTGGGACAGTATACTCTTAACAAGTTAATTTTTTTCATATTTAGGTCAGATTTTACCCAGTCTAGTCTTGGAGGATTTTTTTATCTAAACTGTTTCCTACTTCTATCCTAGAGAAAAGACAGACAGCACCCTTTAAAGCTGGTATTGGTAGCGAGAAGGAAAGATCTTGAGTACCTTGCTCAGAACATATGTAGGAAAAGACAGAGACAGCTGAGCCATCAGTTTACACTTGGATGCTGGGCTTCCTTTTGTGGCCGTATTGAAGGCCTCTCTATACAAACAACTAATGTAGATGAACACTTTCGATATTAAAGTCTTGACCAACAACCCTAGCTCCACCATCTCATTCCATCATAAAACCATAAGAAATAATAACCAAGCTAGATTCTTCTGTATGTCTTTGTCTTTAGTTTGTTGTTGTTGTTCTTTTTTTATACAAAACTGTGAGCCACAGAGGTTGACCACCTAACCCCCCCCCTTTTTTTTTATTAGAAGGAAAAAGAAAATACCCTCAACTAATCTCCATTCAAAACGTATTCAAATTCAGGCTCGCTCCTGTAATCCCAATACTTTGGAGGCTGCGGCGAGTTCAAGGGTAGCCTGAGTTACACGGTCTACTTGAGTTCAAGGGCAGTCTGGGTTCCATGGTAATCTTGAGCCCAAAATTAGACCCTGACTCAAAAAAAAAAATTTTTTTTTTTAAATCAGGCAGCACTGAGTTTTGGTAAGTCAAAGCATTTGGAAGCAATTCCAGACTCTCAGATTTCCATGTTAAATAAACCACTTTTGAAGCATAAGCTGACAGTATCATTACATATTTCACTGAAACACTTCTGAAACCTTAGGCTTCTGTGTTTACATCAAATCCCTGAGAGACGCCACGAGCACCTATGACGGGATTGTACTGTTCTCTTCACATGTCTTTCATGTGGGCATTTCAGAAATTCAGTTCTCTTAGATGGTACGCCATGTGAATATAACCAAGTAGGGTAACTGAGACTGTGTCAGGCCACTGTGCACATTGGCTTAGCTAGGTACTACGCATAAGATTAGCAGCTGAGCTGTAAGGATGAACTATTCCTGTCGTAAGCCTAAGACTGCCCTGAAAATAAGGCCTTATTCCCTTCTACACAGGATTTTTGTCAGAAAATGTATACACAAAATATTTTACACAGTAATATGGGTAGTCTCCCCATACAACAAAGATACTAAAATTTTATTAACAATGTGGTCTGTATTTTGAAATGTATATGTTTATATTCCTTATATAATTCTTTCACTGTTAGTCATTGGCCAAATTCATTGCAAAGAAAGCCAGACTATAGAAGAATTTTATTAACTTTGGCAATGTCATGAGGATTGCCTTCCTCTGTGTTAGTTTGGTTTTTTTAGAGGTTAACACAGTGTTTATAAGAAATGTTACTGATATCTGAGGAATAATACCTCAGTGGTATTATCCAGCATATGCAAGACCCTGGGATTGCTCCTCAGAGCTGAGAAAAGAAAATGAAGTGATTCCGTCAGTATTCTGTTCTAATACTTGGAGAATGACCTTCATATTTATATATTATATGTCTTATGTCTTAACTATACAGTGATAAAATCCAGGAAATGTTTTTTTTTAAACAAAATGAAATTTTGTTCGTAAAATGTTTGTAAGGATATAAAAGTGGATCTTATACGTGTTCAATAAAAAGCAGTATCTCAGAACTCTGGATGTTCTTAATCTTATAAGATTTTATTGCTGTTATTTTTATCTATGTGTATGGACGGTGGTGCATGTCTTCATGCTGGTACTCATGAAGACCAGAATACCCAATCCCCTGCTAACAGAACGCAGATCCTTATTCACTGAGCCATCTCTCCAACCCTTTTATTTTTAGATATTAGGAAGCCAGGTATGGTGGCTCAGGACTGAAATCCCAACACTCAGAAGGCAGGGGGAATTACCATGGGTTTGAGGGCAGCCTGGGCTACATATTGAGTTTCAAGACAGCTTGGACTACAGAGTGACTTCCTGCCTTTAAAAAAAAAAATCACTAAAGAAAGATATGCTGTCGCTGTTTCTGTATCCTCTGAGCCCTTGGACTGAAGTTTGCATCTATGGAAGACCTCTTCTACATTAGGAGGGCCTGGCTGTAGCCTGTACTGCAGCCTGGCTCCGGGCAACAGTTAGCCAGGTACCCACAGTAACTACAGACAACCTGTGACTTCAGCCAGTGGAACCCTCTCTTGGGTAACGTTACCCTGTCCCTTTCATTGAGCCGGGTTTATGAATAGCCAGTAGTTCTCAGTGACAGTTAAATAAGGTTTAAGTATGATCCAGGGCAGTTACATTTCACTGGCCACCGGCCGTTGACTGTTGGCTTTACTCAGAGGCTCCCCACCTAATGTGATGAAAAGGAGAAAGGAAAGTGGGCGAGAGGTTAAAAGGCTGATGGGACAGGAGCGTTCACTATCACCTGAAGCCAAGTACACGGGAACCAGTTAGTTCTCACCTGGGGACAATTTGTCATGGGTAGTAGACCACAAAAGTCCTTCTCCTTCCCGCTGGACATACGAATGAAGCTGCAAATTCTGGATGGTGCAGTAGCCTTGTAACCCATGCCCTGGCTAAGGATTCCACTGCCTCTTAATAATCGGTCTTATGTCTGTGAACGTTATCTTTTGCCATTTCCAATGACGTCTTTTTAAATGTTTATGTTTTTGGTATGGCTATCCATATTTGTAAATGCTTTGGGTGGGTCAAGGGATCCCTTACATTTTAAATTTATCATGAGCTACTTATTAAAGTTTTGCCAAAAGTTAGAAATTAGGTTTTTTAAGTGTGTGTGTGTGTGTGTGTGTGTGTGTGTGTGTGTGTGTATTCAGAGTCGCTCACACCCTCATACAGGCCTATATTACTATTGGTTAGAATGACCCCTTAGAGAGGAGATAGAGCACCAGCTCCCTTCTCGGATGATGCTGAAACAGCAATGGAAAGTTAATAAAGAGCTGTGGATAGGAGTTTGAGGCCAGATCCTTTTGTCCATTGTCAGAGCCCCTGGACAGTACAGCTCATGAAAGATTTGACTGCTAAGCATCCTACTTGTTGGTGGGAGGGGATACAATATGAACACTGTAGGGAAGAGACTCCAAATTCATTGCCAGGACACAAGATAACTTGCCACCAGATCATAGCAAACCCAGGCAGGATCTCTGACCTACCCTCGGGCCTCATTGCTACATCTCTAGCCTGGAGTTCCCATTTTCCTCAGCATCTGGTAGTTTTCTTCTGTCTCCTTACCTTCCTCCTTTTCTTTTCTTTACCTATTTCAACCTTCGTACCACTGTGCTGGCTAGTTGTTTGTTTTGTTTTTGTTTTTGTTTTGACAACTTGACACAAGCTAGAGTCATCTGGAAAGAGGGAAGCTCAATTGAGAAAATGCCTCCATCAGCTTGGTCTGTGGCATGCTTACTTGATTAATGATTGACTTGAGAATGCCCAATCCATATGGGCAGTGCCATATGGAAAAGTGGTTCAGGGTTATAAAAAAAAAAAAATTCACACTGAACAAGCCGTGGGGAGCAAACTGGGAATCAGCATTCCTTCATGGCTTCTACTTCAGTTCTGTGTTTGAGGTCCTGCCCTGACTTCCCTTGATGATGCACTGTACTCTAGAAAATTAAGCCAAACAAATTCTTTATTACAGCAACAAAAAGGGCAAACTAAGGTGACCACTTATCTAGTAGGAACTCGTGAACATTTCCATTTGGATGAGGCAGAAAAACATTAGTGAGATTAATCTAGCCCATGATTACGTAACTAACAATTAGAAAGCAAACGGGAAAGACTCAGATTTGGACATTCTCTGGATCTGTGATATGTAGTCTGTGTGAAGCTGTCTAACAAGGAAGTGATGACCAAAGGCGTTCCTGATTGAGCCACTTCAGACTCACCCCTAGGCAATTCCAGCTCTGCTAAGCTGAAGTGTCTTCTCGAGCAGGCATCCTGGGTTGTGCGCTGGATGGGAGGTTTGGTGTTTGCTTTGCTTTCTGCCCTCAATGAGAGTCAAGGCTACAGCATATGCACTTGCTTTAGGAAAAGGGTGCCACCTTCTGGCATTGAACTTCAGTGACTCCCAAGTGATCTCCTGTCTGCACATATAGTCCATGGAATAAAACCAAATTTAAAAACACTGGATATTTTTTCAGTAGTAAATTTTTTTAATTTAAATATCTGCCAAAAAAATGTTACCAAGGCTTCCCTGTGCTCCTTAAGTAAGGTGAAATATTTCCTCTGGCGTGGGATTGATGACAGGTTCTGGAACTGCAGGTCCTCGAGCAGACCCACCAGGCACAGACACCACATTGAAAACACAAGGGCCAATTCAGTGAACGTTGGAGGTTAGTATGCTATGCTGTATATTCAAGTGCTGATTTCTGTAGCCAGAGATCTGGTTGCATTCCTGACACGGCGTATAAACATTATTCCCCAGTTATCTCTGATTGGTAAATAAAGCTGAGCAGCCTGTAGTTGGGTGAGAGAAGACAGGGAGGCGAGACTTCCGTCCCCAGCAGGAGGTGGGGAGTGTCTTGTGTAGAGAAAGAGAGAAGGAAGAAGAGGGAAGGAGGTAGCCAAGAGGAACTGGTCATGAGAACTGACCAGACGGAGCAGCAGCAGCCCAGACAGGACCAATGTGGCAAGTAATTCCAGGTGTGTGGCTGGGAAGTAGACAGACTAGCACAGAGGGATAGAACAGACGAATATCTGCCCAGTTCTAGTGCTTTAAACTTTTTGTATAAATAAATCTAATAGGTCTCTGTGTAGTTATTTGGGAGCAAGAGTGGGTGATTAGAAAAGCCACTAAATCATACCAAATTTTACAGAACCCCCACAGTCCATTGGGTCATGGTTAAGGTGTGGAGGCAGGCTGTAGTATTTCTAGAGGCAAAGAAATTGATTTGACTAATGCTAGCCTGAACCACAGCAAGCAGAACGAAATGGATAGGAAAAAAAATAATTACTGTTGAAGGCAAAGGGGATGCAGGCAAAATGTGTATACAATTTGGCAGGTGTAATAGGCCCCCAGACCTTCTTAGTACAATTGACCCCATGATGGAAGTACCATTCAAGCTGTAAAACTCAGCACCACGTGCCACAGTGGAACAAAGGCCTAATCTATCCAAGTCCATAGTTCTGGGAAAGTCTTTAAATGTACTAACCTTGCTTTTGGCTTCTGTAGTTCTGCTTCCAGCAAACTTTTCTCATTAACTGAAATATGTCAACCCAGAATGCATTTTGTGCTTAGAAACTCACCCTGAAAAAGGCTCTGGCCTACACTGGGATCCTGAACACCCGTAGTCACTGGCTGGCTAATACTTTCTATTGGCTTAAGCTCACATCTGAGCAGTCTTCTCTGGTGGGTACCCCACAACAGCAGGAACATTAAAAACCCAGCAGATGCATAGTGAGCAAGCAGCACTAATTTTTGTGGGTGGGGGAGGTGTAGAATATATAACCAGCATTTGGGGCTTCAAAACTAGTACTTACTAAACAAATTTCTGTAACTTCCAACTCCCACCAGCTTGATTGTGATGTCTCAACATTGTACCCAAATGTATTTTCCCTAAGTAGTCACAAAGGTGTGCACCATATATATGTATGTGTTAATAAACTGCATTTATGGAGCCCCAGCACAATGTGGAGACACATTGTTCTTCATGTCTTCAGGAGATTCTGCTGCCATTGCTGATGGCCATCAGCCCATGACTTCCTGTGTCTGCTTTACAGCACCAGGTATGATGAGTGTTGTCATTGCAACCCAATCCAGTGGAGAAAGCTGCCTTAATTGGAATGAGTCCTTGACCATCACTGACAGAAGTGAGGGCTGAGAACACTGTCTAGGAGCTGCGGTGCCTGCTCAGGATGCTGCAGAAGGGAAGATTGAAACTCTGAGCAGATGGGGATAGGTTGGGAGGAACAAGAAGGCCTATGAAAGGATGTGAACTGACTGCTTCTGTGAGGAAATGGACTGGCAGGCTGTGGGAGTCTCAGGGGGACACTGAAGGGGCTGGGTCTTATATGCAAATTATATGGAAGAAACTTGAACTCAAGGAATGCTGGGAAGACAAGCTTCCGTGAAATCACAGAAGCCTTTAAAAGTTCTTGCTGCCATTTCCATCTTGAATGTCTGTCTCCCAGAGAGCTCCAGGGAGGCACTGCTGGAAGGTCATGGACCCTTTTAAGAGATGGAAAGAACATCATGGAAAAGCTTGAGTGGGGGGCAGGGGGAACTTTGCAGAATTGAGACTGTGATCCTTTCCTGGCTATAAAGGGAATGGTTTTGCTATACCATGAAGTCTGACCAACGTGCACTGCTTTACCACAGGTCCAAAAAAATAGAATGAAATTATCAGAGACAGGAATTGTAGAGCTGCCCAGACTGGAAATAGGAGTTAGAGGCTGTGACTGGTAACATATTGAGAGGTCCAAAATTTGAAATTTAATTCCTGGGGCAACTTGACTATGGTCCTGGGTACAAGAAGAGACAAGTTAAGACAGACCTGCCCAGCCTTGAGGGCCTTGATATTGTTGCTTGGCAACCAGACCAGATGGCCAGCAGTCTCCCATCCAGATAGCCCCTAGCTGGTAACCAAGGTCTCACACTAAGAAAAAAACCACAAGATATGCTAATTGTTCCCCCTCCC